ACTTGAACAATAAATATTAGAAATAGTACGTAGTATTTCTTTTTTTGTGTAATGTACCATCTACCAAATTTACATACATAAAAATTTTCAATAATTAGAGCACTATTGCGACAGCATATTCCTGAGACCAAATCAAGTAAAAAAGTCCTGTACTACTTTTCCCTCTGACAAACAGTTATCGAAATATCATAAGCTAAACATTGAAAAAGTTATAAATTTTCTCTTGAACATCTCAAAAAGTATTAGACAAATAAAAAAATGTTTCAGACAAAACTTACGTACTTTTTAACGTGGAATGCGAATCTGTTATAAAAAGTGGGGGTTCCCATTTTAGATTTTAAAGTTGTCCCCCGCCCCACCCACATGGGTGGGGGTGGGGGGATCAATTTTGGTATCATTCGATAGCTCTTTCAAAAATAGGAAATACGTATTTTTCCGTTTTCTGATCCACCCACAATTTCTCGGGATATTCAACCGTTCCGGGACTTTTAGACCACCCTGTATGTTAACACAAGGCTTTTTCACGAGGCTAATACAATTCTCGAGAAAAACCGTACAAAATTTTAGAAAAGGATGAACTTAAGTTAACTATAACTTGACATTCAGCTTGACTTTGAAGTCGCTTTTTGACTTCTTCTACCGACTGACAGTCAACTAATAGTTGACTTGGTGCTGTTTGGGTAGTAAGCATCGCACCACACTTGGACATGATTTCCAGTGGTCCGACCCCCTAATATTATACAAAGAGAGAAACCTAAGAAAAAAAGAGGTTGCTGAAATGTTCTTTATAAAAAGACACAACTCAGCAATTAATTACCAGAGGGACACTGAAAGTTTGCCAGGGGTATATGAGAAGATTATTGACATCACCTAGGACTCTTTATGTATGTTTACTCATTTGTTTCTAATTTATTTGTAATGTTTTGAACTGTTGGTTCCTTGACAATGCGTTGACCTACATATTCCCAGTCTCATTTTTGCGCCGTTAACGATGACAACTGTCTAGAGTGACACAGACTTTGCTTAACAGTAACTCAAATGTACGTATTTAAGGGATCTATTTTACTTATTTAATCTATTTTATTTAACCCATCTAGTTAATTTATCTCACTCAACTTTACTATAATCACTTTACTGCAACGGTTACTTCAATTTATAAGCCTGTTTATACACATATATTTTATATAACACATAAATATGTTACCCTGCGTTTTTTTGTTGCTTTGTACAGTGGTGCCCGATGGCATTTAACCACATGCTATGCGCCGTTTGAATTAGTCGGAGTGCACTTGATAAGGGCCAAAACCCACGGCCGAAACGTTGTGCTAATAAAGGTTTTCCTTCATAACAGTATAGATGTTGTTTACGCGTATGTTTTCGACTTTGGTGAACTGCCTCGATGGTTAAATTGGTTGAGACGCCCGCCTAGAGAGAACGGAGGTCCAGGTTCAAACCCTGGCTAAGGTATTTTTCGCAATATTTTCTGTGTTAAAAAAACACATAGCCAGTCATGGTCGATTAACTGCTTTGCTTAATCATGTTGATTCATCTGCTGACGTCAAATAATTCTTAATGTTATTTATACACCTAGACCGAGTAATGGAGTCTAACTGGGGGAAGGGTAAAGGGAACAAGGATACTTAAAAATCGCGTTTCTATAGTGCTATGTTCAACCGACAATCCGTATCGATGCGCAGTTCACCAAAGTCGAAAACATGTGCGTAAACAACATCTATACTGTTATTGCGACAAATGTTATCATATGCCTCGGTGGTCGAATTGGTTGAGACGCCCGCTTATAAGAGAGAAGGGAGGTCCAGGTTCAAACCCTGGCTAAGGTAATATTTTTCGCAATAAATTTTCTGTGTTAAAAACACATAGCCAGTCATGATCGATTAACTGCTTTGCTTAATTTTATAATAGATTTTGATTATGTATCGCATACGAATTATAGCATTCTGTGATCCATACGATGTAAATCGTATGACATTTTTCGAATACGACTGCGTAGCTATCAATCAAGAATACCAACTATTAAAAGTCGTATACGAAACAGCCATTTTCGTATACGAAAGTCATCATATTGAAGAATAAGGGCCATGGCATCGTCACTCATGATTGGCCGTCGCAGTGGCCAGATGCAAATCCGATTGAAAATGTGTAGGCATATCTCAAGCTTCGAGGGAAAAAGTGTGCAATTTAATGCGGAGTCTACAATGCGAGTCGCAGAGTACAACTACGACTCTGCGACTCGCATTGTAGACCCCGCATTATTTAATGGTAATGCATTTTTGTTATCATGGAGTACAACAAATCCATGTACTTAAAATAATTAAAAATTTTTTTACAAATTAACCCGTGCACACTCTTGCTTAACAGACTGTATATCTAAAGAAATTATGAAATGAAAAACAACGTACAGACTTGAAAGTTTTGTAAATTAGACGGGTCAAAAGTAATCCGTTCTTGACTCTTTAACCTGGTATGAAGAAATTTATCACATTATTTTAAAGATCTTTATTAAATATAAAAATAATTATTACAACTTGTTAAGATCTGAGCAGTAACATAAAATTTATTTAAAAATAATATTTCAGAAATTTCAACTTTAAAGACAAATATCTCGGTAAAGAAGCATTATTTAAAAAATGTATAGGAACTCGTGGAGTTATTTTTACTTACTCTACAAGTCCACGAGAGATTGCCAGGCTTTACAGGAACACCCTGTATAGCGAAATGTTTAAACGAAAAAATCTTGACGTCGTTGTCGCATTCATGTAACCACGAGATGATTAACGAAAGCTTTCGAAAAATGCCTCGCAAGAGAAAATCGCAAAACCGTTTCGGTGACCCTCCTCGTGTATAAGGTGAGAACAAGATGACGAACAGCACAAATCGAGATAGAAGCAAAAGGGTTAGGCGAATAAACATTGTTAATTTGCACACGGAAACCTGCTTCGACCCCGACTAAAGGCCAGAGGGTCAACATTACCGCGGTTACCGTGTATACACAGTAAATAGTCTGCGCTCCTCTCTACGCCCCCGTACGCGGACTGGCGCTGAGTTTTCAGTCAGTCGTATTCGACAAGCCGCCCCCTTTGACCGACCTAATTGTCTAATTGGCAAATAAATCCCATTGTTTTCCGATCGTGCGATCGATATGCGCTACTTGGTTTAACACGCGACCGTTCTTTTGAGTACTCAACATGGCGTGAATCATGTTCGAGTACTTTAAAACGTTTTTGCCAGTTGAACGAATCAAAATGGATCCATACTTAACACTTAAATACTTAACTACTTGACACTGCGAGTGTCATTGTACACATGCACACAAGGTATTATGGGAGTGCACATATTTGCCGAAAAACTATGCAAGGAGCAAAAGACGTTGAAGGACACTATCGAACTTAATATCTTAGATTCCTCGTTGCAGCTACATTCAAATTTGTTAAAAGCAAAAGATTAAGGTAAACTCGGGTATTATGGATAAGATGGCCATAAGTTTTAATTTCTCCAATAATTACTAAATATCAAAGTTGAGAAGTAACGCGTTACTTGTAACGTCGTTACCGTTACACACAGAAAAATACTACCTGCAAGTAAATATTATTTGTTCCAAGTATTTGATAAGTTTATATATCCGCAAATCTATCATGATGTCGTCGCAAGTGTTCTATTTACTCAAAACATATTCTGGTTCTTAGTAAGACTAGTACTTCAAACTGCAAGAATACATAGAATTATTTGGAGCAAAACAATTTTGTTTCTTCTGATTTTATTAAAAGAAGCATACGGAATTCTTCAATAAGTTTTATAATTTTCTTCAAAGAAGAATAAATTCTTTCTTTGAGTATAAGATGACAAGCTTTTCTAAGACTAGTAACAAGTATATCTCAAAACTATTTTAAGAAAATATTCTTTGTTAAAGCAAACCATTACTTAAACGGAATAAAATAAACTGAGTAATTACTTTTCTTGACTGTACAATAATAATTTTCTGTATCCACTTTAATTGTTTCGTAAAGAAACGTAGCGATTCGCGGTGACTGTTTGTACAAATTTTCTTCACGATTTTCGTTGCGTCTAGTAAACGTACTGAGCTAGGTTTAATTCGTGCCTTTAGTTTGGCGCTACATGTTCGTCGACATATCAATTACAACTTTTACTTTGTGTGGGTCACTTAAATTACGCTTATAATTAGTTACGGAGAAAGACTCTTGTAGAGAACCATATATTGATTCTCGTAACACACGTTGTCTGGCCAGTTCCATCTGTGCGGCGTCAAACAAGCGAATGGATTCTTTTTGCAAGAGAGATAATCTACTTGCCTATCCAGAATACTGTTTATTCTTTTAATCTCGTCTTCTAAATGCGATCGCGTATAAGCCGTTAAAACGAATGGACAATTTTGTTCCGGCACTACTCGTATGGACGGCGCCCACGTTTCGTTAGGAGACTTAAGCTGAAATATCGAAATATTTACATCAAATCCTACGATCAAGTCCGGTTTCACGAACGACGAGCTGCGTACGTATTCCTCATAAAATTCTTTATGAAACGTAAGCAAACATTCTTTCTGACCCGACTTATGAGCCATACGTATTACCTGAGATTTAATTAATTCCGGCCCTATCATTATAATCATAAAATGTCTTATATCCATTAAATCTAACAAGACTGACCACTGGCTATAGTCTGTTCCTTGTTATTCGCGCCTACGACATGAACAACTACCTTTTCATTTTTTTGAACGGAATCTAACAATCGCATAGCATGAAACAGTGTTAAGGAATGTGACAGGTACTCTGAGTGTATAACTTCTACGATATCGCGTGACAATTTCGAGTGAGTTTGAAGATTTATGTAAGTGTTTATAAAGTCCTTCATGTTCTGAAACGTACCCATGTTGGAAACTTGTTGCCGAAATTGCAGATTGAAATCGATCGGTTCACCGCGTGAAATACAATAACGGAAGCCTAATGATAGAGGCACGCAAACGTCATTGTGCTGAATACTGTTTATGTGATCTTTGCAGTAGCTGGCAGCGCAGTTTCGACAATCCCGCAGCGATTGTTCATCCACGTCCAGGCAGACGGCACACTCTCTTGGGAACAGGAGCATTTCTCTCTCATATTGCTCCAAACTATGCAGTCCCAGCTTCGTTGCCACTAGGCCTATGAAGATCATTTTCTTCTCGCGCGTCTCCATCGAAATTGCATCAAGTTGTTCTACGTAGTAGCTTTGCTTCGTGTCGCATACGGCTTTGCAAAAAGATTCGTGCTGCCGCCAGTGTTGCTTCTGATGCTTCGGACCACAATAGTAGATCAATTCGCACTTGCCGCATTTCTTTAAACACATGTCGTCTGCAAACCGTTTGCAAACGTGACACACGGTTGCATAGAAAAAGCGGTTATAGTTCTTATGATTTTGATTTCTCGTTTCTGTTTCCATGACTCTGCTTGGTCTCGTTATATCAACCGACGGAGTCTTCTTCTAACGACAAGTGTTACACGTGTTATACGTTTAAACAATCAAGTTCACTCCTTATAAACACGCACAGTGTTGGAATGTTTCGATTTCGTGGGTCATGCGTTGTGGCGTACGCGTGTTGTCAGTGATTTTCTTGCTGCGCTTTTAACTCTATTTCCAATGGTGCGTTTGGAAATGGTATTTAAAAATTAATAGTTCACATCAGGTACGCTAGAAACTGTCAGTCTATCATTTACATTTCCGAATATACTAGGAAATACGTATAATTTACTGGCATTGTATTTATACAGTGATTAACTGTGAACGTTGCAATGAGGTCCAGTCCTAAGTAGCAACCTGACTTTATTTCTTGTCACTTTAATGATTCTCGCGATGATAATTAAGACAGTTAAATAGTTTCTATTTCTCTTTGCGTCTAAACGTTAGGCTCGATTTAGTTCATGTCCTTTGTTTCGCGTGCGTTACGTTTCCTTCAACATCAATCATAGGCTATAGTTTGTGTCGGTCACCTCCCATGCAGCAGAAAATTTGCAGTTACATTGCAAATACATTGCAAATGGTTCTGTACTGCCAGGGTCCTAGAATCTCTGCCACTAATAGCTGCTTTCTTTTTACACTCAAGTGATACTGAGTCACTCAGTTATGTGAGTATTTTATACTCAGATATGACGTCACTAATGTGAGTCTATTAAACTCACTAAAGCACACGGTCTTGATCGTATGCAAAAACTCAGTTAAATCTGGTTGAATCTCACTTCTCAAGAATCAAAAGGAACATGCATTCAACTGAGTTATGACATCACAAGTGACATTTATCTGAGTTTTCATGTAAAAGGAGAACAACTACTGTGTTCTTCGTTTGTGGCAGACAGTTGTCACACCTGTGACATCAGATATTTCAGATATCGATGGAGAAAAGATGGTGGAATAATTATCTATTCGTGCGTATATGTGTTTCATGAAGGTTTACACTCAATTTGATGGTTATTTCGGACCGTCAACGTATGATTGAGTGTATTTTTTCATAAGGGTAGTACCTGATAAGTCGTTGTTACAAAGATATAAACTTTATTACAATTGTCGAACAGTCTTATGTTGATTACAGAATTCTCTTAATATTAAAATTACTGTATCCACGACTCAGCTATCAATATTTATAATCCATATACAATCCATTATACTATACTACAATATTTATAATCCATCATGTTCTGCTGATACCGAATAGAATTGATTCTGTGAATACTGAAAGTAAGTACCTTAGGATTTATAGAATATAGATATGCAAGCTTCCTGTGGAACGTCAAGTCTCACACACAGAAAAATATATACTACCTGCAAGTAAATATTATTTGTTGTCCTGCAAGTAAATAATATTTGTCCAAGTATTTGATAAGTTTATGTATCCGGAAATCTATCATGATGTCGTCGCAAGTGTTATATTTACTCGAAACATATTCTGGTTCTTAGTAAGTCTAGTACTTCAAACAAGAATATATAGAATTATTTGGAGCAAAACAATTTTGTTTCTTCTGATTTTATTAAAAGAAACATACGGAATTTTTCATTAAATTTTATAATTTTCTTCAAAGAAGAATAAATTCTTTCTTTGAGTATAAGATGGCAAGCTTCTCTAAGACTAGTAACCCACACAGCAAAACAAGTTTCAGAAAGCTTTCCGAAAGATAACTTGGAAACTAATATTGAAATGTAAAATTGAAATCATTCAGAAATATCTTTGAAACGTTTTATCAAAATCACATGTCATTGAAAGCTTTCCAAAAGATACCTTGGAAATTAATATTGAAATGTAACATTGAAATCATTCAGAAGTATTTCTGAAACGTTTTATCGAAATCATTTATGATCCTTCTCACTGAAATATTTCAGAAATATTACGAAACATTTCAGAGAAATATTTCGTATGTAATCTCTAAAACATATATTATTGAAAGCTATCCAACATATAACTTGGAAATTAATATTGAAATGTAATATAGAAATCATTCAGAAATATTTCTGAAGCATTTAAGAGATATTTCCGAAGCATTTAAAAGATATTTCTGAAGCATTTCAGAAATATTTCAGAAACATTTATGATAATTCATGTACGGCATCTA